AAAATATAACCAGAGACACTGAAATTAAGAACAATATGTGAACAGCCAGAGGGGAGGGGAGAGGGGACTGTGGGGAAAAGGGTTTTCAGGAACTGCTTATAAAGGACACATGGACAAAACCAAGGGAGAAGGTGGGAGCAAGGGAGAGAGGTGGGTTTGGCCTGGGTGGGGGGAGAGTGGTGGGGCGAAAATGCAGACAACTGTAATTGAACAATAATAAAGTAAAAATAATAATAATAATCATGGGGATGTAAAGTACTGCACAGGGAATACAGTTGATAATACTGTAATAACTATGTATGGTATCAGTTGGATAATAGATTTATTGGGGTGCTCACTGCAGAAGTTATACAAATGTCTAATCACTGTGTTGTACACCTGAAAGTAATATAATATTGTATGTCAACAGTAATTTATAAGTAAAAATTTGTTTAAAGTAAAAAAAAAACAAACCCTATTCATTCCAAAACCACTTCACACCATTGAGGATAGCTATAATCAGACACATAATAAAAGTCTTGGTGAGAATGTGGAAAAACTGGGGCCCTCACACATGGCTGGTGGGAAAGTAACCTGGCAGTTGCTCATAAAGTTAAACACAGTTACCATGTGACCTAGCAATTCCACTTCTAAGTACATACCCAAGAGAAATGAAAACATAAGTACACACAAAAATGTGTCCACAATGTTGATACAGGGATTATTCATTGTGGGAAACAATACAAATACTCATCAACTGATGAATGAATAAACAAATGGCCATAAAAAAAAATGAAGTGTGTTGATACATGCTACGACATGGTTGAACCTTAAAAATATTATGCTAAATGAAAGAAGTGAATCACAAAGGGCTACATATTACCCTGGCTGGTGTAGCTTAGTGGATTGAGCATGGGCCTGCGAACCACAGGATTGTGGTTCGATTCCCCGTCAGCCACATGCCTGGGTTGCAGGTCAGTTCCCAGCAGGGGATGCATGAGAGGCAACCATACATTGACATTTCTCTCCCTCTCTCCTTCCCTTCCCCTCTAAAGATAAATAAAATCTTTAAAAAAAAAGGTTACATATTAAATGATTCCATTTATATGAACCGTCTAGAAGGGGCAAATCTATGGAAGCAGAGTGGATCAGTGGTGGCTAACACTGGTATGTAGAGAACTGGGATTGAATGTTAATAGGCACAGAGTTTCTTTCTGGAATGATGAGAAGATTCTAAAATTCACTGTGGTAATGGTTGCACAACTCTGTAAAAGTACTAGAAACTACTGAATTGTACACTTTAAATGGGGTAAATTGTATGGTTTGTGAATTACAGCTTAACATAGCAGCTATTTTTAAAAATTCCTCTTGGGGAAATTTACTACAGCTTTAATTTCTTAAATGGTTTTTAGTTTCTTTGGGTTTTCTTTTTCTTGTACAGTCAATTTTGGAATGACTTTTTTCTCTAGAAAGCAGACCATTTCATTTGGTTTAAAAAATGTATATACATATGAATTACAAGTGATTTTTTTTGTGGTCTTTAAAATTATAATTATAACTATATTCCTTTTTTATACATGATTGCCTTATAACTATATTCCATTTTTAAATCTTATTATTTGTCATCTGTTTCTTGATGAGTATTTTCAGAACTTAATCAACTGAAAAGAGCCAGCTTTGATATGAATAAACATCGCTATTTTTTCATGCTGATTATTTCCTATCACTAAATTCTATATTTATTTGTATTTCCTCTCTTCGTTCTTTCTTCATTTTACTTTCTCCTTTTTTTTAGTGAAATATCTGGCTCATTTCTTTTCCTTCAACTGAATACACGCATTTAAGGTTATAAATTTACCCCTAAGCACTACTTTTCTTGTATTTCTCAAGTTTTGATACAACGTTTTTTTGTGATTAAGCTCTAATTATTTCATAATTTCCACTTGTTCTTAAAAAATTTTTGGTCATTTTTTCTTCAATACTATTTTCCTACCATTCTCTGTATCCTCTCCTCTGGAACTCCAATATGACATTCACTTAGAGCTTTTCAACCTAGTCTCAAAGGCTCCTTAACTCTTCTTTACCTCTTCACTTCCCTGCACTGTGCCCTGAGTCACCAGTTTTATCTCAAAAAAGATAGTTTTATCTCGATAAGAAGTTTAACAATTTCTTTCTTTAGCTGTGTCTAATCTTCTATTATTTCCATTTATTGAGTTAAAAATGTTTTTCATTTTCAAGATTTCAATTGGTTACTTTATACAATATCTATATATTTATTGTTTCTTAATTATTCTTGTTTAGTTATAATGCAGTATGCTCTTAATAAAAAAGAGAATATATATATCTTCAGCTACTATACTTTTAGGTAAAATGTTCTGTGAAAAGCTGTCCATTATAAAACTCTTCTTTAATGTAAAAAAAACCCTCCTTAAAAGTTCTCCTGACTGCTGTTCTATCTACCAAATGTTATTTCACTGTGCCTGCCCACATCAAGGAAACATGGAAAGAAGTTCTATTATTCCTATTTTAGAATTAGAAAAACTGAAGCACAGTGAAGTTCTTTTTAAAATACTCGGCTCCCCACTTTTTTGGGAGGGAAAATATCAAAGCCACAGAGAATATGCCTGTTGCCTAGGTTCAAAATTAACATTTGTAACATTTGCTTTATCTTTCATCTCTCTTTACATATACCTACATAGACCACACCCAAATACCCACATTTTTCTTTTCTGAGCCCATTCCTGAACCTATTACAATACTTCAATTCTAAACATTTCAATATGTACCTCTAACCAATAAGGGCAATCTCAATATAACCGTCATACCACTGTCAAACCAAAGAAACCATGAGACTGAATAGTCTCTTACATGGATGTGCAAAAGACTCAAAAGAAGGACTGAAGTCATCTGACTAAATGTTCTTTACCTTTGCCTATTTATTGGACCTGAATTGATTTAGAAGTGAGAATGTGTCTAAGAGCATTTCCTTCCTCAATGACCTTGAAAAAGGACTTAATTTACTGTTTCATCAACTGGTATACTTAAAAACAAGCTTTCCTGAAAATTAAGCAATACCTTCTAAGATAGTCAAATCTCAAAATTCCAGTACTAAATTTCCAGTTTGTCTAACACTACACAAAGCCTTAAAGTACAACCTAATTAACTCTCTTAATACTATACACTCCTTTGTAATGTTCCATAGAAGTTCATATTGTACTGAACAATTATAATTTCACTATACCAGTTTTAAATGAAAAAAAGTTCTTAAAACATACAATATAAACAGCATTGATAAGTCAAATAAATCTCTTAATAAATGAAAAAAACTGTTAAGTATATTTATGACAATTATAATTTCACTATACCAGTTTTAAATGAAAAAAGTTCTTAAAACATACAGTATAAACAGCATTGATAAGTCAAATAAATCTCTTAATAAATGAAAAAAACTGTTAAGTATATTTATGAATTTAGATAAAAACAAAATTTTCAATGGATTTAATCCCAGTGACTGACATTAGTAACTAAATAAGATAAAAAGAACAATAAAACCCTATTTTTGCTCTCAAAGACCATACAAGTCAGCTTAAGAGTTTTAGTTCAAAAGAAATAGCCGAATAACCCAAAGGCAGCATTTAAAAGTTAAACTGTGTCATACAGACAAGAATGCTATCTATACTCACAGAAATGTTTAAGACCAATCTACAATAAATGAGAGCTAACAAGAAGAGTGTTGACTATGTTGACATGTTGGCACATGTCTAGTAGGCAATGTCCTAAATGCATTCCATGAATTAGTTCAATCCTCAGAGCAATCACAGAGAGGTGCTAGCCTAAAAGGATGTATCTAAGTGGTATCACTTGACCTCAACCTTAAAGTATAGAAAAAAGAATGAAAAGAAGGCCATGTCAAGAAAATGGAAAAGCACAAACATATCAAATATAAATATGGCAACTGTCCAGGTAAGACTAAACAAAAGTTCCAAATCAAAGAAGCTCGGGCTAAATAGGATGCAAGTGGATTATGAGACGTCTTAAGTACTGAGCAAATGGATGAAAAACTTATGAAATAGCTAGAGCAGGGCACTCCTACAGGCTCTTTATGCACTAAAAGTGCCATTTGAGAAATGGTAACTGGTAACAATGCAAAATGAGTGAAAGGAAAATGAGAAAGGAACTCTATTTCTAACATTAACACGCCAGAGAGCACATACTGAATCAACTGTGCCACTCTTCATAACAATAAGCCCATCCACCATGAACAAGAAAGTAGTAAACAGAATTGCCACATGCCTTGAATTATTTTATAAATATACCTTCAGTGAAGTTAAAAGGTACACTGAAAACTATGGCATTAAGAAGTGATAGTCAAGTGATATAAAACTATTTTTACTGCTCACTACTATGCCAAAAGAATTTGGCCAAATTTGGCATAAGCATAAATTTTAGTGTTAAGTGCTTGCTTCAATAAAAGCAATGTCACAAATAAATAACAAAAAAACACCAAATAAATGAATTAACAAAATATCAACAAAGAACTTCCATAAATTGCTTTAGAACTATTTATAGTATTTACCAAAGGTAATAAACATAATTTTTATGAACAACCTTTATGTAAATGATACACTTTGAAATTAGTGTCACATTTATTCATACACTATTTAAGAATTAGGTATTTATCATCCATACAAAAAACTCCATAATCTATATCAAACTTACAAAAAAAATAGCTATAGCAAACAAGTTCCTTTCTTTATAATTAAATGAACTACTTCTAAAGAGAAGAAATGTGAGAAAAAATATCTCAAGTCTGCAAAAACTAGATTACCTACCAGTAACTTGAGTTATCCTATTGGGTCTTTTCCCTCACAGATCCACCTCTTCCCTTCTCTCCAGCATGAGATTCTTCCTGACGGGCATCCACTGGAACTGGGGGGCATGCAGTACAGATGTATATGTAAGAAAGTTGAGGGGAGGGCATTTGGGAGATGCTAGAGACATGCTTCAGTGCACTTGCTTACCTTCCTGAAATTGGAAATTTCAACGGTTCCTTGGTCCTCAAGGCATTCACAATAACTTCAAAGAATGTGGATCTGTGGAGATTACCCAATAGGAGAACTCCAGTTACTGGTAAGTGATCCAGCTTTTTCTTCTCTATCAGAATAAGAAGATTGTATAATTTTATTTGAGGTTATTAATACATATAGAACTATAGAAAAGAGGGTGTAAATTCATCAGATAACTACATATGCATGCACCAAAGTAAATACAAAAACTATCTGCTTAGTACAATGTCAACAAAAACTTCTGGCACTACCAGAAACACAAGCAAAAGAAAATGATTTGAATGGTTTCGTTTTTAAATTTCCACTATAATGGCAGCTGTACTTTAATATACACATGTATCAGCTATAAAACTATGCCACTTCACTTAAACACCATCAACACTGAAATAATGTTTTTAATATTAGTAAAAATGATCCTATTAATTAGGTGATCAAAATCTGTCCTTTCCTAACTAGCTATTTGTCATTTACATTCACTGAATTTTGGTGAAGGCCACAACAGTGGATAAACTATATACAAGACTTTAAATAAAATGTGTCAATACAATTCCCATTCATCACTCATAGGTCTTTAAGAGGACAAATTGCCATCTCTAACAAATCAATCACAGACATGTATAAAAGTATGCTAGGCCATGGATAAATAACAAAGCTGGTTTTAATTTAAATACTTCTACAAAGTAGCATGGCAATATTTTTTATTAACAGTTATATTTTTTAAATGATTAACTAGAAATGGACCTGTCATTTATTTAAAAGAACCAACTGTTTCTAACAAAAGAAAACAAGGTCCCCCCAACAGAACTTTATCTTCAAGTGCCCATTAAAGTCTCCTATTACTTTTAATTCAATCAGCATAGTTCAATTTTTAGTTCAATTTCACATATTAATCAAGCACACGTTCATTTTAATGTGCTACAGCAGCAATGACTTCAAACACTAATTCCTGTTGAAGACACAGAGGGATATGTTTCCGTAATACTCCTCCCTTTTACCACTATGGTACTAAACAGTCATCCCCTACCTTCAAAAGATTACGGTTTCATGGTTCTTCAGTCTAGGGAAACAAAGATAACGTACACCTCTTCCTTTGTTTTAATCGTACACAGGATTAAATGATGTAGAAACTTCAACAAAAACCAAAAATGTAATTTTAACAAAACTCTTACATTCCAATGTTGTAATGAGGTAATATTTGTATGCTGCAAAGGCTAAAAGCATATATGTCAAGATTTTTGCTAAATTTTGTGCTAATTTCAACATACAAAACTGTCTTTGGTAAATTATATACATTTTCCCATAAATCTGAGTTTAAAAAACAGCAATTAATGCATTTACTTTAATTTATTGATTTTAGAGGGAGAGAAAGAAAGGAGAAAAGAGAGGGGGAGAAAGAAATATCAATTTGTTGTTCCATTTATTTATGTGTTCATCAGTTGATTTCTGTATGTGCCCTGACCCGGGGATCAAACCCACAACTTGGAGTTTCCAGAGGATGCTCTGAGCTATCTGGCCAGGGCTAATGAATTCATTTTTAAATGAGTCACTCATTCAAATAAGGGCGTTAGACAGACCTCATTTCTAACTGTAATCCAAGAATAAATAACAAAAGGTTATCTAGTTAACTTCTATTCTCTGAAGAATAAGCAAATATACAACACAAAGGTCTTACATGTTTGGAATGATAAAACAGGCACAGGAACAATAATCCAAATATTTTATCCTTGTGGTATAAGTTAGAATAAAATATCATTGAGAACTAAATAATAATTTCCAAATCTTATTTATAGCAAATGTAGTCTCCATTAAACTCAGGTCTTATGAATTTAAAACAGAATCAAGTGCATGTTTTTAAACAGTAAGTGAATTAAAGTATCTTGAAAATATTTTAAGGTAACCAAAAGGGTCACTTAGAGACCACCACTGAAAGCTATGTTTGTTGTTACCACGCCATAAGTTCAATTTAAGATAATAGATTTTATCAGAATATCTTAGAAAAGAAATTCCAAAAATTAGGATGATCTATTCAAAAATATCCTCTATACTTTTATTAAAGTATAATTTAATAATCCTAACACTCCACAAACAGGTAAATCATCTTCCTTAGTAATCAAGAACCAAATCAAGTATTTCACTAATGAATATCTATTCCATCAAATCAATTTGAATTTATGTCCTGGCTGGTGTGGTTCAGTGGATTGAGCACCAGCCTGTGAACCAAAGGGTTGCTGGTTAGATTTCCAGTCAGGGCACATGGCCGGGTTATAGGCCAGGTCCCCAGTTGGGGTGCTCGAGAGGCAACCAGACATTGATGTTTCTCTCTCTCCCTTCCCCATTCTCTAAAAATAAATGAATAAAATCTTTTTAAAAAATCAATTTGAATTTATGAAAAAACTGCTCAGAAAACAATCTGGTAGCTAACATTTACTTCCATTACTATCCACTGGTTTGAACAGTATATTTTGGCAAGAAGCACATTAAATTGTAATTGGTTTTCATGATTCCAAGTATATTATTTTCTTATTTTCATTAAGGTTTAAATATTTAATGTAGTCCTCCTGGTCTAGGTAGTTCAGGTGGTTGGAGCATTGTCCATTATCCCATAACCAAAAGGTTGTGGGTTCAATTCCAGATCAGGACACACACCTAGGTTGCAGGCCTCGGCGCATGTGGTCCCCAGTCTGGGCATGTGTGAAAGACAACCAATCAATTTTTCTCTCTCCCTCTTCCTCTCTCTAAAAGCAATGGGAAAAAAATGTCCTTGGGTAAGGATAAAATAATTATATACATCATTATGTATTATATAAGAATATATATATATATATATATATATATATATATATATATATATATATATAATGTAAGGTATTATGGTTGTATAAAGTTGTTCAAAATAAATCCTGGACTTGGAATCCTCTAACAGTACAATAAAATTTGATATTATACATATACTCACACATATTTAAGTGACATTACTGATGGTTCATACATAAATAAAGGGGAATGGATATATATAATTGAGCTGGACCTCAGTTAACCAAAGCAAGGTTAAAAGTGAGTTTTAAACTTATTAAATAATGTTATTTACAGGAAACTATCTTCTCTTTTGCTCCTTAAACATGATGTCTAGATAAAGTATAGAATCTCACTTCTGGTTTTTCCTAGCTAGACCCTCCCTCTTATTATCATCCAAGAGGGAAAAGTTCTACAAGGCACAGCATTTATAAGCAAAACTCTAAGACTGGTACTTTGTCTTTTTTAAACACATTTGACAAAAATGTATTGAGTCTAATGTGCCTTATCTCCCTTTTCAGGCCTGTGATATACTTACACCATCCTCAGCATCCCCAAATTACAAATAGCCTCTCATTTCTCAATCCAAATTGTTCTTTTCCTCAACTTTTGACCACCATTTCCCTACATCAACCCAAAAAGAAAAACAGTTCTATTTTCTTGTTAATGCAAATTAGCTTGAAATCAAGACAGCAAAAACTATATTGGCCTGGAAAATAAGTATAACAGAACCTACTTCACAGGGCAGCTGTAAGTATTAACTAAATGTGAGTGAAGCTTTTAAAAACAATGCAGGATCTAATCATTTATCAAACTGTTAACAAGACCACCCAGAAATGAAATTATTTTCAAATGGTTTCAGTTATAACCTGTTTAGAGGACTGTAGTCTATGGACTAAAAGAACTATAAAGAAAGTCCAAACTTCACTCAGAGATTTATCATTTGTATTAATTTTAGTACTATTATTTTGAAACTACATGCTTTATATTGCTAGAGAAAATAAGTAGTTAATGTTATTGATCAGGAATTACACTTTCCAGCATAAAATACAAGAGCTATAAGAACACATTAATATTAAATTTAACTGCAAGTATCACTAGACCCTCATTTTTTAAAAAATACATAATTTAGAAATAGTTAAAACATTCTAGACAGTAGTTACTAAGTAAATCAATATCATTATCATACCTATATATATTATATTTGCTAATACTACAAAATCAGTATTAGAGTAAAAGTAAATCTAATTTAATCTAATCTAATTATATTAGATTTACTTTAAGGAAGCTACTTAGACTTTAAAAGTTGCCAGAAACATTTACGCAAATAATTTTCCACGTCCCAATACCTGATTTTTACAAGCTAGAACTTTACAGTTGCGGACAAATTCTAAATTAAAATATGAGATAAACAGTATATATTCATGCTCTTGACTGACATTTGATGGTAAAGATATTAATACTCAAACTGTTTGAAAAAGCTTGAAGAGGAAGGGTTGCTTACAGGTGAAGCTTGGACTCCTCCTTTAGACAGAACAGGTCCCCTTTTATCTATTGTTATTCTGGATTCTCCCACATGCTTTCCTTTCAAGAAAGAATTCTGCAATAATGATAAAAACTTTTAAACTTTAGAGACTTCCGGCAAAGATGGAGGCATAGGTGGAAATACTATGCCTCCTTACACAACCAAATTTAAGGACAACAAAGATTTAGAAACAGAAACACAACCAGAACAGACAGAAAATTGAACTGTACCAAAGTCCAACAACCATTCATCCAGACGGGTAAGAGGAGCGAAGTCTGCAGCCAGCGGAGAGGGGTCCTGGCAGGAAGAGGCGGTGCTTGGCAGACACGGGCATGAGGAGGAAATGAGCAGACTCAGTGAGGTGCACAAAGTAGCTGGCTGACCGGGTCACACATTCACACACAGATAAACCAGGCAAAAAATGGGCAGTGAGACAGACCATGCAACCCAGGGCCCCAGCAACGGGAATTAAAGCCTAAAAGCACCAACTGAAAAAACTTGCAGGGGTTGAGGTGCCAGGAGAGACTCCTAGCCTCACAGGAGAGTTCACTGGAGAGACCCACAGGGTCCCAGAATGTACACAAGCCCACCCAGCCAGGAATCAGCAACAGGAGGTCCCAGTTTGCAGAGGAAACTGAAATCCAAGAGAGAACAGAGCAAGCACCACTGTTCCCTCCCTGACCCCGCCCCCACATACAGCCTCACAACC